GAAACGTTCTGGTTTTTCCCTGAAAAACTAAGTTTTTTTACATATATATATATATATATATAAACCTGAAAAGTGTTTGTGTTTTCTTCTCCCTTTTCTCCATTGTGCCACTGGAAAAGATGGGGAGAAAAGAGTGAGAACGGGGAGAGGGGAAGGAACCCCTAAAGCCAAAAATGGAAATGTTCATGGTTTGGTTTTTCAGCGGAAAATGAAAACTTTTGCAGAAATTTAAAAAGAAACAACTGCAAAAAAAAATCATATTTTTTTCCCAGCTCTCCTAGGGAGCCCTCCTAAGCTCATTTGACATAGACACCTCAAATAGTGCATCAGATGGTGGGAATCTTCGTTCACCACTAAAATATTATGGGTATAAACTCCCTAGAGCGTTGTCTCCAGCTACTGTTGACTGCTCTCCAAATCAGAGGCTTTTAATCCCTAAATGTGCAAGCTCCTTGTTATCCGTGAGCTCTGTGGCTTAGACCCCCAGCTAGTATAAACTGGTATAGCTCAGTTGAATTACGAAAGAGGGAAGTCGGTCCAATGGCTAAGGCACTAACTGATCATTCAGGAGACCTGGGTTCTGTCACATACTCTCTGTGTGACCTTGGGCAAGCCACTTAGAGTATGTCTATGCAGCAAAGAAAAACCCACGTCTGGCTGATGCTAGCTGACTTAGGCTTGCAGGGCTGGTGCTGCCAGGCTGTTTAATTCCTGTGTAGACTTCGGGGATTGGGCTGGAGCCCGAGCTCTGGGACCCTCCCACCCTGCAGTGTCCTAGAGCCTGGACGCCAGTCTGAGCCTAGAAGTCTACACAGCAATGAAACAGCCCCGCGAGCCTGAGTCGGCTAGCGGAGGCCAGCCCCACGGTTGTCTAGCTGCTGTGTAGACATACCCTTAGTCTCTCCATGCCTGAGTTCTCCAGCTGTAAAAAGGGGTTAATAGCCAGGACCTACCTTGCAGGGGTGTTGTGAGGCTAAATACAGTAAAGATTGAGGGGCCACAGTTCCTGGCCAATGGGAGCTGCTGAGATGGCGCTGGGGGTAGGGGCAGCGGGCAGAGCCCCCATGGCTGTCCCTCCACCTAGGAGCCAGAGGGAGTTGCCAGCAGCTTCCCGGGCGTCGCACAGGGCCGGATAGGGAACCTATCTGCACCACCAACCGGACTTTTGACAGCCTGGTCAGCGGTGCTGACCGGAGTCACCAGGGTCCCTTTTCAACTGGCAACCCTATGGTAATGGGGGCTGTGTAAGTACCAAAGCTCACCAGACTTCAGTGCAGCTGCTCCTGTTTACAGCAGCTGGGCATTTGCCCTTACATTCTCTCGTGGTCTGCGAGCAGAACCCCGCGATATACATTTTTTGCTGACTGAAGACCTGGAACGAAGTGCTCAGCTCTTCCAGGCCCTGATCTTGCACGCCATGTGTGGTTCCCCTAATCCTGGGGTTCCCTTGGAATCCCGACAGGCCACAGAGAATGTACGTACCAGCTTGAAATACGTGCGCTGTCAGCGGTGTCATGTCTCCTCCAGAGCGGGGATCCAGTCCAGGCCCAGTGGTTACCAGCTGGGTTTTGCATGTAATGCAGTGGACGATAAATTTCTCCATCCACAGCTCTCTGTCTGCTCCTTGTCAGAGTGGTGGTGGAGCTGGGTTCCTGGAGCCTGGTAGAACTCTCATCCCGCTTCCTTCAACCCACTTTATTTTACTCTTCTCTATGTGAAATGTCACCAATTCTTAGTTTGTTTTGGGCCTTGGCCTACAAATCTCTCTCTCCCTTTTTCAGAGCCAAACTTAACAGCCTAAAGCCCGGGCAGGGACAGTTAAGCTGCTCATAAAACAACGGTTAATTGTGGCAGTGGTAAGGAGATTATTTCCCTGAGCCATGTTCAGTTCAGTCGCATTTCCTGCTTTTGTTTTGTGTGCATCTGGGTTTTCCCTGCCCAGGACTCCAGGCCCCTCTCTTCCTTCCTGCTTGGAAAGGATTGGGCCTCGATCCAGCCGATGGCTGAGGGAGGGCCAGATGCTGGCCGGGACTGTATTCTTCAGCGGTGAGATTTGAGGCTGTGCTGTTTCCTTCCCCTGCAGAGGGGGCTGCGAGGCATGAAGCACAACGTCAAGGGTCTGTGCAAGGAGTCTCCCCCTGGAGAGTTCTCAGTCCCTGGCCTGCCCTGAGCTGGGCACGGTGTGATTTTAGTGCAGGGTGACTAGACAGCAAAGCGTGAAAAATCGGGACCGGGGGGGGGGTGGGGTGGGGTGGGTAATAGGAGCCAATATAAGTAAAAGACCCGAAAATCGGGACTGTCCCTATAAAATCAGGACATCTGGTTGCTCTGTTTTAGCCGTTGCTGTAAAATGGCTTCAAGCACCAGGTTGTGAGGGTTGCTGCAGTTAGGTGTTGCCAGTGATGCCCCCCGCACTCACTAGTTCTGTGTATCTCCCTTGGCTCTGTGCCAGGGCGGCCAATAATGGCTGAGTTATCTGTGTGGGTTTTTTTAATGTGTCTGGATGCCATGGGACTGCAGAGGAGACATCCTGGGGATGTCAGGGCCTGACCCGGGGGTCTAATTCTGGTACTTTCAGTGTCCTGAGCCCCCTTAATTTGTGTCTCAGGCCAGAGACCTGCTGTGGGAGAGAGCAGTGGTAGTATTACGTGTATTACAACACAGAATCACAGAAGATCAGGGTGGGAAGAGACCTCAGGAGGCTCTAGTCCAACCCCCAGCTCAAAGCAGGACTAACCCCAACTAAATCGTCCCAGCCAGGGCTTTGTCAACAGTGGTTAGGAGCCTGAGTCCTGGACCAAGCTGCCCTTGTGCCCGGCACTAAACAAAGCCAGTCCTGGGCTGGGTTTTGTTGGAGTTGGTAGCCCATTGCCGACCCGTGGTGCCCCCCCCCTTCCCCTGGCTGCTCTTTGGAGAGGTTTGTATGTCCCACACACCCAGGCCCTGCTCCCCTGTCTGTGGAGAGGAGGGTGGGAGTCTGCGGAGCAGTGGAGTTCCTGGGTGACTGCTCCTCTGGGCGCTTGCCACGTAAAAGTGGTGGCTTCACATTATTCCCATTCTGTGGTTTTGTTGTAGGTTTTGCTTTTCTTCCCTCTCCATCCCCCCTGCCTGCTGTGCGGAGGGGCAGGGGAGAGGGAGGGTTATGGCATTACGGCGCTAGTGGGTCCCTCGGCACACGCTCCTTGTTCCACATGGTGGTTTTCCCTGCCTGCCGACTGTACAGGGACAGTATGAGCCTGTGGCATAGGCTGCTGAGGGAAAGGCCTGTCTTTTGGGGCCTTGAAAACCTAGCTGGGCAAAGCCCTGGAAAATGCCCAGTCCACTAAAGAACCATCCAGCGTTGGCCCATAGGGGGCACGCTGCGTGTCCAAATAGGTCTTTGCCATCTCTCCAGGCTGTGTGATGGGGTGTCTCACTTAACAGAGTTGAGTGGTGCCAATAGTCAGGCTGATGTTGCTTCAGTGTCTGTCCCCCTGAAGACTAATTCTCTTGGGACTGACGGTTCCTCTCAAATGCTTTATGGCAAGATGCTGCCGCGGATCTGAACCCCAAACACCCCCGCCCTTCCTTCCCCTAGAGTTCCCCTGCCTCCCATCAGGCATTTTAATCCCGGATGGCTAGAGTTGGGGTTACATTACCCTACAGCCTCCTTGCTGGCCACAACTGTGCTCAGTACCAGCGCGATAGCCCATGTGTTTCTTGCCAGGGTATGGCAACGCAGGCTGGTGTTCTCGGAATACGGCTTTGACTGGAGACCCTCAAGGGATACGCTGCTGAATTCAAGCCTTAAGGTGGCATGATGCAGCAGTGGGAGGAGACGACTGGGGAGAGATGGAAGACAGGGGTTCCTTTACCTGGCTCCCTGTGTTACTTTGAGGCACAGAAGTGAAAGGACTTAGGCCAGATTCCCCATTTTAAAAACAAAGATCATAGTGCTGCACTAACTTGCAGCGGTTGTTGTAGAGCTAAACCAGCTCGTGTTTATAAGCTGCCTTGAATGCTGGGGAGGGAAGGAGCTTTGCAATGTTAAGTATTGCTGTGCAAATTGGATTGGGGACTGGGCTATTTGGTGAAATTTCTAGGAGTCCGGTGGCACCTTAAAGACTAACAGATTTATTTGGACAGAAGCTTTGTGGGTAAAAAACCCACTTCTTCAGATGCAGTTCCTACCCTAGCAGGAAATGCTGAGGCATCCAGGTGGGGTTATTTTAAGGCTGGAGATATCCATGGCACATGTTGCCCGGGAATGTCTCTTAGAGTGGCTTCTTTTCACCATATAGGGCAGGTGGGTGCTACTCACTCATAGAAGAGGGCAGCTTGACGCTTGGTCTCTCAGAGCATGAAATGGAGTGGGGTTCCTAAATAGAGTCTATAACCAAGACTTTCCCTGGGCAGCACTTGTACCTGCTGTGAGCTGATAAGTGTAGACTAATCCCATTACGCACTGCAGACAAAGGCTCTCCCCCCCCCCAATTAATTTCTTAATTAATTAATTTCTAACTAATTTCGTAGTGTAGACCAGGCCTTAGTCTGTGCTTTCATTCCTAAACAGGGTGGAATACATTGATCCAACACCTTCTCTAATAATAATGATGATGATGATACCTAGCTCTTATCCATGGATCTCAGAGGGCTTTGCAAAGAAAGTAAACATCATTATCCCTGAAATACAGTTGGGGAAACTGAGGAACACGGTGACAACGAGACTTGCGCAAGATCACCCAGAAAGCCCGTGGCGCAGTTGTGAATCTCCAGACTTAAAGCCCAAGGCTCTGGCCACTAGGCAGCACTGATGTTTGAGAGAGAGGTTTTGACTGTCTCGCTTAGTTTTTGGATGTAATAAAAATATGCTAAAAGAATGTTTAGGTTGCAAAGTCAACCTCTGAAAAGTCACATACCAGAATAAAAGTGGTCTGTGCTGCCTTAATTTGACCCACTTGTGTGTATGCATTGTGATCGGTTTTAATTACATGATTGCACACTGTTTTTCCGCTCCACAGGTCCTCTGCCTCCTTCACTGAACAGGATGGACAGTGCTCACTGACTGGGTAGCTATTTATATTTCTTTTTATCCTCCTCATTCACTGTGTGGCCCTATGCATTATTTACTGTCTACCATCCAAACCCTGCCTTGAATACAGAATTATTAATTTCCTCATGGGCTTTTCCATGGTGCTCTCCTTAATGTATTGAAGCCAGTTCAGTGTTTGTACGGAACTATCTTCACAATACCCTTTGAGAGGGAAAGTGGTGTGTTATCTGCATTTTAAAGATGGACACCGAGACCCAGTGATTGAAGCCAAAATTGTCACTTGTTATCTAATCTTGGGTGTCCAGTGTGAGAAGCGAGTCCTTAGCATTTTATAGCACATCAGAGCAGAGCTCCTGTCTACCACAGGTTTGAGTGCTCAGCACGTCTGCAGCTCAGACCACAGGCGACTCACTTTGTGCCCCCAGCAGATGAGGACCACACGGTGGCCTGTGAAAACTTTGGTTCATGTTACTTGCGCAGCATCGCACAGGATCTCTACAGCAGAGTCACTTTCCTTTAGCCAAGAGACCGTCCTTTCTTTCCTCCCAACCCCGCCTTATTCATTGTGCACCTTCCAACTTCTGCAACAAATGAGACAAGGGGCCTATAGACAGTGTTCTCCTTCACTGCTCAACCCTGGTTTATCCCCAGGGCGAGTCCATCCTGTGCACTGAATGAGGCAGGTGTCATGTGGAAAAATTGTCTGTGATCGTGTAATTAAAGACTGTCATAATGGACAGCCTCACTTCTGATCTCTCCTAGCTTTTGAGGACTTGACTTTGCAAGCCTGATTGTGTTCTTTGAATGTAGATTTTTGAAGGTAACATAAGTATATAGATTTTCTTGTAAGAACAGTTATCAATGACATGTGTCAACTCTTCTCACCTGGCCCTCAGCTGAGCCATCATGAATGGACCGATCTCTCAAAGATGTTGATGCAGAGTTGGATCTGGAGGGCGGATCTGAAGGGGGCTTTGCGGAACGGCTCAGGGCGGGTGTTCCGGGAGGGAGGGTCAGTGTGGGAGAGTACGTGAGAAGCTGATGAAACTGGCATCCAGAGGAGAAGAGAGGCAGAGCTGTGTAAGGTGTTGCAGGCCAGGAGCCTGAAGTCGGGAGGTGTTAGGGGTGGGGATGATGTGGCTGGAGCCAGGGCAAGGGAGATAATGAAAAAAGGCAGCTGCTAATAAGGCACAATTACAGTAAAACTTTTAACATACTATATCATACATGACTTATTCAGGATCAGGTTAATATTCAAAGAATCCAGGTAAGGTTCTGGCTTGCTGGCTGGGGAGCCCTCCCCTTCTGCATATGTTAAAAAGGGTAACCAAACTTCTAACTATTTATCATCTTTTTGGCGCTTCTATTGCGTGTACTCACTTGGTGTGAAAGCTTCTCCATCACAAGGACAGTCCATATTTGACTATACCACAAGTTCAAGTGTTGAGGAAAAGAGTGTTTCCATATGGGGAACTGAGGTGCAGAGGGAGAAGGTGACTTGCCCAAGGTCACACATGAAATCAGGGGCAGAGCTGGATGTTTGAGTCCAAATCTCCTGTGTCCCAGTCTAGTGCCTTGACCCCAGAGTCATCCTTCCTCTCACCCCTCCCTGTAGCATCTCTGAAACTATTCTTTGTGGCTCTTAATTTCTTAGAGATTGAAATTTACTGAGTGTGTGTTACTTAAACCTTTTTGCTATAGCAGCAACTGCCAATGGAAAAACTTTTAACATTTGCTGCTGCTACAGAATTGCTCTTGGGTTGGGGACTTATCCCAAGATAAGTTTGTTTGTTTGCTTTTTAGAGTTTTTTGCCTAAGTGAATTGACTAGAATACAAAAAAACCCAACCGAAGACTGCCCTACTTGTAAATGTAAAGAAAGCGTTAACATTTAAGACACAGTATGAACCCCACAATTAATGGCTTTTGCAATAAAGAGAATAAAAAATTTAAACGAGACAATCCATAGCTTTGTGACAGCTGAAGTTCAGAGATGAGTCTGTAGCCTCTGCATTAGCAGTGCCAAGTTCACTCCCTCCCCATTCTGCCCACCTCCTTCCTGACTTTCTTTTCTCAGTGTAAAACTGTCATTTTTGTCATGTTCTTTTGCTACACACACAGTTTTTCATCATATGAAATAAACTTTTTAAAAGTTTAACATGTAAACCAGGACATGGGGATTGGAGAACTGCCCTGGATTTTAGGGGAATAGCAATAACTGACTGAAATCTTTTTTTTTTCTTCTTCAGTGAAACGGGTTTGTAGGTAGCCATTCTTTATTAGGTGTCATGGGCAAGCGCGTTTGTCATCCAGAAACACTTTTTCCCACTTTGAGGAATTATTTCTTCCGTACAGTGGGCTTCAGAAATGATCAACAAGATTAACAAAAACATTGGGGAGGGGGGGTTACCTGTTTGGCGATATTTTGTAGCTGTCCCTCCAAAAGCAGAGTTACATTTGTTTGGTTTTTGGTTTTGTTTCTCATTACATTCGAGGGGACCTGAAGAATTATTTGTGTTTTTATTTAACACTTTTTACATTTACTTTTACACCAGCTGTAACCCGAGATGCTTTACAACATTAAATAACGAGAAATTACTGAAGTTACGGTGATTAAAGCCCTAATGCAGAGGGCCTGGGGAGAAACTTAAAGGCCCAGCTGAAGTGGAAGAGGGAATGATTGAAGAGGGATTCAAGGGCTACTTTTGGATGGCCTAGATCAGTGGTTCTCAACCAGGGGTATATATACCCCCAGGGATACATAAAGGTGTGCTGGTCGTCTGGGAATTAGGATTTCCAGTCTCTGAGCGCCTCCTGCCGGCCGGTGTCTCTCCTGCCTGAGGCCCCCATGTCGCTCCTGGACCCTGGTGCCCTTTACCTTGAGGTTCTGCCCCCAGCAGTACCCCCACATTCTGGGTCTCCCCTCCCAGGGGAACCCCCAACCCCTATGCCCAACTTGCCTCAGTGGCTACTGCCAGTCGTCATAGAATCATAGAATCATAGAATATAAGGGTTGGAAGGGACCCCAGAAGGTCATCTAGTCCAACCCCCTGCTCGAAGCAGGACCAATTCCCAGTTAAATCATCCCAGCCAGGGCTTTGTCAAGCCTGACCTTAAAAACCGCTAAGGAAGGAGATTCTACCACCTCCCTAGGTAACGCATTCCAGTGTTTCACCACCCTCTTAGTGAAAAAGTTTTTCCTAATATCCAATCTAAACCTCCCCCACTGCAGCTTGAGACCATTACTCCTCGTTCTGTCATCTGATACCATTGAGAACAGTCTAGAGCCATCCTCTTTGGAACCCCCTTTCAGGTAGTTGAAAGCAGCTATCAAATCCCCCCTCATTCTTCTCTTCTGCAGGCTAAACAATCCCAGCTCCCTCAGCCTCTCCTCATAAGTCATGTGTTCCAGACCCCTAATCATTTTTGTTGCCCTTCGCTGGACTCTCTCCAATTTATCCACATCCTTCTTGAAGTGTGGGGCCCAAAACTGAATCGTGCAGTGAGAGACATCCTATTTCATCTCCATGGAGGCCGTTGGGGTCTCCTCTCTTCCTGGAGACATCAGCCAAGGTCGAGGAGGAAAACCTGTCTGGGTAAAATCAGAACCAGCCGGAACATTTATCAGAGTTTTGAACCAAAGTTGGAATTAATTCCATGGCTCAAGAGTGGAGTTTAGGACTCAGCAAGGATCTTTATTCATCTCAGCTGCTATTTAATGTGATCTGATCTCCTATGTATCTAATGTCTCCATTACCATCATAGAATCATAGAATATCAGGGTTGGAAGGGACCCCAGAAGGTCATCTAGTCCAACCCCCTGCTCGAAGCAGGACCAATTCCCAGTTAAATCATCCCAGCCAGGGCTTTGTCAAGCCTGACCTTAAAAACCTCTAAGGAAGGAGATTCTACCACCTCCCTAGGTAACGCATTCCAGTGTTTCACCACCCTCTTAGTGAAAAAGTTTTTCCTAATATCCAATCTAAACCTCCCCCACTGCAGCTTGAGACCATTACTCCTCGTTCTGTCATCTGCTACCATTGAGAACAGTCTAGAGCCATCCTCTTTGGAACCCCCTTTCAGGTAGTTGAAAGCAGCTGTCTATCCAGGCATGAAGGTAATCAGAATGATGTGACTCTTATACCTCATGACATGCTAGGGCTGGAGAGCTCTTTGTCAGACCATGGGCAAAAGCTTTCAGTATCAGCCAACATTTCCCAAGCACTGGGATCTGATACTTTCAAAAAACAAAAAAACCCTACTTTAAAAAAAAAAAGAAAAAGGAAAAAAAAAAGTCCCTGTCCTGGGTTGAAGTATTTTGCCATTTGTTCCAGCCAGGTGTTGAAAATCTCGCTCATCACGTCTTCTTAAAAGAGCTCCATCTTTCAAACTGTCACTGCTCAGCAGCTCTGCGGAGGTCTCTTTCCATAATGACAGTCCTTTTGAGGATATTTTTATGCTAGAAAGGGTTGTGAATGAAGTTGTGTGAGGCCAGAACCTTCCTGTGACTTACATGCTGATTTTGCTGAATCCATAGTTGCTGATTTGTGCTCTGAGGAAGGGCAGCAGGAACTGGCCTGACTGTTGGTCTCTAATCGATAACACATGAACGGCCAGACTGGGTCAGACCAATGGTCCATCTAGCCCAGGATCCTGTCTTCTGACAGTGGCCAATGCCAGGTGCTTTAGGGAATGAACAGAACAGGTAACCATCAAGTGATCCATCCCCTGTAGATATTGCATCTTCTAGTAGCAATGTGGCCTCTGATGTTTTATCATCTGAATGTTACCAACACAGCCCTGCTCCCATTGCCATCTCTGGAAGTTTTGCCGTTGGCTTCTCTGGAAGTAGAAATTAGCCTTTGATCTTGGTTGATTGGGTGGATTTCATGACTGTGGTTGGGAGACAGGGAATGCTGATGTCTGTCTCTCCTACATCCCAAGGCCGAAGGGTGTCAGGCGCCAACCTCCTCAGGAGGATGCCGGCTGATCCAGGGGTCTGTCACTGAGTTCCTTT